ACCTGGGCGCAGTACTTCAATTATCATCATACTGGGTCAAAGTGTAGCAGAACCATCACGTCCGTCATTGTGAGCTGTGTAGATTGCTAAATTTCTGTTATTTTATCAAGGTGTATAAAGTGGAGGACTGAAGGAGTGGTATTGTGATTTCAAAAGACACTGAAGCATCTTGAAAAATCATTCCAGTCTTAAAATAAATTATTGCAAAAGTCTGTTTTAATTGCCCAAAAGTAATTTCCTCTGTTCCGCCCCCTTTAAAAGTTCACCACATGCTGGAAACCACAGGCTAGGACAAGAGAGAATTCTCTTACAGACACAGACTGGGAACTCCAAGTATTATTGAAGATGTAAATAGGAGCTGAAGGGCCACAGGCACCACACTCTCCTTTTATCCCCATGTTTCCCCAGCATGTTGTTGCCATTAGTGTCAATGGACATTATAGTCCCTTATATTCAAAAAACAAGGGCTCTCATTGTCCTCACGCTGGTAATGGGGCAGGAGAGGTGGGGGAAGGAAGAAGGGAGCTACACACTCTTGACATTTTCTTTGCTGAGTTTGGATTTCTGCCATGGTCATTTAGCATTGAGTTACTGATGATAAAATGTCTAGCTGATGATGAAATGATATGGTCTAGGTCCATTAAGCAAATTATGGGAAATGTTTCCCTGTATCTCCATAAAAGTCCTTATCTGTTGTCTCATAGTGTGGAGGTGACCCTGGGTTCTTGAAGGTTGTATTTGTGGCCCAGGACCACAAGCTGTCATAGAGCTTAATAACCCAGAAAATCTTTGAACATGTATGGATCCTGTGTTGGATTTTTTTGTTGCTTATCTGAGGATCAGGTTAGCTAAACTCAGAGAGACTGATCACTACAAGACTAGCCACAACCACTTCTTTTTAAAGTAAATTTTGATGCTTTTTTATTATTGATATTTTTGTTTTTATGCCACTTCAATTTGCCCCCTGTATCTTTTCTCCCTCTCATCTCCTAGAGAGTGATCGCTTATAACAGAATTTTTTCAAAAAAGAAAAGGAAAAAGAAGAGAAAAAAGTCAGCACAATTTCATGCATTGAAAAAACTCAGTATATACATATACAGTGTTGCACACTTGTGGGCCCCCTACCTCTCCAAGGGAGTGGAGGGAAACATCTACTCACATCCCTTCTTTAGGGCCAAGTGTGTTCTTTGTAATTTCTCAGCATCTATTTTGAATTGTTTTGTCCTTTCCATTCACGTTGTCGTAGTCACTATGTATATTGTTTTCTGGTTCTGCTTACTTCAAGTTGCATTAGGTCCTGTAGGTTTTTCCATGTTTCTCTGTATTCATTATATTCATTGTTTCTTATGGCATAGTGATATTTCATTACATCCATGTATCACAGTTTGTTTAACCATTCCTCATTCTATGGGCTTTACTTTTATTTTAGTTCTTTGCTCCCACAAAAAGTGCTGCTGTAAATATTTTGGTGCACATGAATTTTTTTTATTTGGTTTTTGTTTTCTTTTTTGCAGCTGCCTTGACATATATATAAATAACAGTGTAACCTCTGGATCGAAGGCTATAGACACTTTAGTAATGTTATTTGCATAATTCCAAATTGCTTCCCAGAATGTCTTTACTAAATCACAGGTCCACAAACAATGCGTTAGTATTCCTGTCTTTTCACAGCCTCTCCAACATTGACTATTCCCATCTTCTGTTGTCTTTGCCAGTTTGTTGGATGTGAGGTGAAATCTCAGGGTTTTCATATGTATTTATCTTGTTATTTGTGATTTGGAGCATTCTTCCATATGATTAATGGTTTGCAGTTCTTTAGAGAATTATGTGTTTATATCCTTTGACTAACCTTTTGGCCGCTATTTAGGATAGCATGCTGAATCCGGAGTCAGAAAGACCTGATTTCAAAATCTTGCCTCAGACCCCTACTAGCTGTATGGCCCTGGGCCAGTCACTTAACCTTTGCCTTGGTTTCCTCAATTATAAAATGAGGATAATAATAGCACCCACCTCCCAGAGTTGTGAGGATCAAGTGAAATAATATCTATAAGGCACTTAGCACAGTGCCTGCACATAGTAGGCACTTAATAAATGCTTCTTTCTTTCCTCCTTATTTTCCTCTTTGACTATTTTCTATTGGGGAATGATTTTTTAGTCGTAAGTATTTCTGTTATTTGTCTATATATCTTGGGTGCCAAATCCTCATACAAGGAATTTGATATAATGATTTTCCTCTTATTAAATCATTCCCCTTCTTATCCTGAGTGCATTAATTTGTTTGTCCCACAGTGTTTCAAGTTTATGTAATCAAAATTTTCAATTTCATCTTGTGTAATTACCTCGATCCTTGGTTTAAAAATTCCTCAATCTACCTAGAGCCGTGAAAGTTATGTGAACTGCTTCTTTTCTGATTGTTTTATGACATTTAGGTCACATGTCCATTTTGATTTTGTTGTGGGTTATGGCATAAGATACTGGTCTAAGCTTAATTTCTACTGAACTGAGCCACAGCAGTCTTGTAGACACACTACCAAAAAAACAGGGAGTGAGAAGGCAGAGGGGCTGCCCACACAAATGAAATCACAGGTCCTGGAAGTAATGAAGTATTTCCCTGATACCAAAAGAAGCACCTTCCCAAATGAATTTATCCCCTTAATGCCCTAGGGAGCTAAATAATAAATAATGACCCATTTTAAATATGAGAAGACTGAAGCAGAGGACTAGAAACTCAGTTCAATTCAACATGCATTTATTAAATGCCCTCTGTGGACAAAACATTTGGGATACAAAGTCAGAGATTAAAAATAGTCCCCATCCTCAAGGAGCTTACACATTCCTACATGATAAAATGTAATAACAGATCAGTACAACCAAGATAATTTAAGGAGGGCAAGAACACTGGAAATTAGGGAGGTGAAGAAATGCTTTCCGTAGGAGTCAGTACCTGAACTGAGTCTTGAAGGAAGCAAAGGATTTTCATAAGTAAATGAGGAGAAAGTGTATTTCAGTGTGTGTTGGGGGGGCAGGGCAGAAGTTAGTTCATTTAAAGTCATGGAGCTAAATTAAATATCAGGTTTAAGGAATTCCAAGCTGGATAGCTTGGCTAGAATGGAGAATATTTAAAGAGAAGTAGTGAGTCTGGAAAAGTAGTCTGGAACCAGTCTGTGGAAGATTTTAAATTCCCAACAAATGAGTTTGCATTTTATCCTAGAGACAATTGGGAGTTGGATTCATGAGCTGGTGAATGGCATGTTCTCTTCTCAAGGAGCTTACAGGTTAATAGAGAGAATGATTTGAAGAGGGAGGACGAGCCACCTAGGCTGTGTCTTGAAAGAAAAATTTCAATTTTTTTCCTATGTGATGTTGGCTAAGTCACTTACCTGCTCTGGTTCTCAGGTTCCCCAAGGGTAAATGGATATGCTCAATTAGATGAATTTTAGGTCCTTTTCAGTTCTGGGTCCTGTAAGAAGGACTTAAACAGGTATGCATAGGGAAGGAGTCCAGGGCATGTACCACACACAGCCTGTTTGCAATTCATGAAAGTGGAAAAAGACGGAATGAGATGAGCTAACAGAAAGGCAGCGTGTCTAATGAATAGGGCACTGGGCTTGGAATCTATGGGATCTAGGTTTAAATCTCACTGCTAAATCTCACTGTGTGGCTCTTCTCTTCCTGACTAATCTCTTTGAGAAAGCAGTCCATCTTGCCCTTTTTGTCCTTCTTACTCTCTTCTGATAAGAGAGTAATCTCTTTATTCTGGCTTTTTATCTGTTCATTCAACAGAAACGGTTTTGTCTAACGTTACCAGTGATCTCATAATTGCCGTATCTACTAGCTTTTTCTCCATTGTCATCCTTCTTTGTGTTTGACTCTGTTCGTGACCCTTTCTTCCTAACTGACCACATGATAGGGCTGTTCAGCTCTGCTGTCCTTTCCAGCTCAAGGTTTAGCTCTTATTCTAAGACTGGTTTATTCCTGTAGAGCAGAAACTGTGTTGTTCTTACTTTTTTTTAGAGGATTGGTGGTAATATGAGCAGTGGCGTGAGGGGCCCTGGGTGCGACTCTTGGCTTGGGAAACTGCTTCATGCGTGACTTTGGGCAAATCATATAACTTTTCTGGATTTGTAACCTTGATTATTAAAATGAAGTGGTTAAACAGATGAGCTGTAAAGATTTCTAGCTCTCTGGCCTCCCCCATGGTCAAGCACAATATCAGGTATGTAGTCAGTGCTTATTATTGGGGTAGCTAGGTGGTTCAGTGGATAGAGTGTTGGGCCTGGAGTCAGGAAGACCTGAGTTCAAATTCAGTTTCAGACGCATATTAGCTGTGTGATCTTTGACTAGACACTTAACCTTATAATGGCACCTATTTCACAAGGTCGTTGTGAGGATTGAATGATATGATAATTGTAAAGCTCTTAGCATGGTGCCTGGCATGTACTAGGCACTGTATAAATGTTAGTTATTATATATTATTATTACTAGATCTGTTGAATTGAATTTCCCAGTATTGTTTTCCTCTCTTCATATACTCCCTACCCATCCCCCAACATATCAATATGCAGTTTTCATCTTGATGTTTCTGCTACCCACCTCAGTTCCAAATGAACTGAATTTAATGCCTCAACAAAGAGCATTTCAAATGTGTGGATGTGATATTTTCATGGAAAATCAAACTTGAACCTGCCATCAATGACCTCATGCTGAGAATAAATTGTTAGTGATGTGATATTTAACCTCTGATCTGAGCAAACCATCTTCTGATGCAGAGCAGGACTAATTGAAAAATGGCCAATGATGTCATCTGTTGCATAGCACGGACATTAAAGCATGACTAACCCAAAGCTCAGGAAAGCTGATGGCTTCCAAACCGAGGTCTCTTGAGTATCTTTTTTGCCCCTGCTCTTTGACAGCACTGTGAATGATAGCTCACCATGGGCTGCGTAGTCAAAGGAAGCTTAATTAACCATGTTCTGTCCCTGCATCTGTCTTTCCCACAGCTCCCAACTCTACCTCGTGCCCTGCTGAAGAACCCTGGTGGTCAGGCTTGGTCATCATTATCGCAGTATGCTGTGCCACACTCGTGTTTCTGGTTGTCATTGTCATCATTTGTTACAAAGCCATAAAGAGGTAAGAGCGTATATAGTCTCCCTCTTTGCTCTCTCCCACCTCCACCCCAGTGTCAGCCTGCCGAGTGGTTTCTTTGTGGACCAAAGGGAAATACCTTCTCCTTCTTCTTCCTTCTTCGTTTTGAGTTTCAAATTCTATCCTCTCCGCCCCACGACAGTAAGCAGTCTGATATAGGTTATACGGGTGCAATCGTGTAAAACATAAAATACCGTCTTGAGCAAGCACTTCTTTGCATGTCCTCAGGAGTTATGATATGGTGTTCATTGTCCCCATCATTGGGGATATAAGATCTAATTCAGTAGCATATCATTATTTGTAAATGAAGTCAGCATGACCACTCATCTTTCAGAAAGATGAGAAAGTAGTGTGGGGGAGTCAGATATCAGGTTCAAATCTCGACTTTTGATACCTACTAGCTCATATGAGTATCGGCAAGTTAATTAATTTATATGAACCTCAGCTTTCTTGTCTATGAAATGAGAAGAATAATATGCGAAATGGGGAGGTAGGCACTCATTACTTCCCAGGATTATTTCGCTAGTAAATGTTGAAGTATTATAGAAATTAGAGTCACTTTTATGAAATAAAATAGATCACATATATAAAACACTTTGTAAACGTTTCATTTAAACAGGAATCCCACTCCTGGGATTGGGCATATACCCAAGGAAGTCAAAAACAGAAAGGTTTCTTATGTAGCAAAGTATTAATAGTAGCACTCTTTGTGGTAGCAAAGAACTGGGAACAAAGTGGGTATATAAACATATTGGGAACTTGAAGGAATGGCTTACAGATATGGTTCATTAATGTAATGGAATGTTATTAGGACATAAGAAACCATGAATATGGAGAATTCAGGAAAACATGAGTAGGCTGACATGAACTGATGCAGAGCAAAGTAAGTAGAAGCAGGAAAATGTTGACTGCAATGACAGTGTAAATGGAGAGGACAATAAAATGAAATTGAACATTGTATAATTATAAAACTTGGTCTGGAGAAGAGATGAGAAAATATAACCACTTCCTTTCATTGAAAAAAGGGGAAGACCGTGAGTGTGTGATGTTTCCTGTGTTTTCAGATATGGTCAAAACATCAATTGCATTGGCTGATTTTTTCAAATCTTTTTCCAAGGCTCAGTGGGTAGAGGGAGAATGAAGAAGGCAAGGTAATAGAGAGCCAAAGGAATTCAGATTGCCCAGCTTAGAGTAATTAAAGAACTGATTTCAAGGATTGCTGTCTGGATTCTTTGAGAAATCATCAAGAATGGCAAAGGTCCTAGAAAACTGGAAGTGGGCAAATGCTATCCATCCTTAATGATCTGTCTCCCTGCCACCACTGTCCATTGGACCTTTATAGGCACTTGGTTTGCACATTTTAAAACTCATTATTTTGTAGCAGAGTTACTTGTATATATGACCTATCCCTGTTCCAGACTGTGTGATCTGTGAGGGCAGGGACTATATTTTTAGTCTTGCCCCTCATGTTCTGCCTAAGAAAATCTGTTGTTTTGAAACTCATGAAACGTAAAGTTCTTTGTTCACTTGTTAGAGTGGACCTGAATTCTCAGAGAAAAGAATGAGCTAAGGATTTATTAATTAAGCATCCACTATGTGCCCAGGCACTGTGCAAATACTATTTCATTTGATCCTCATAATGATCCTGGGAGGTAGGTTCCGTTGTTGTCCTCATTTTACAGTTGAGGAAACTGAGGCAAGCAGAGGTCAGGTGACTTGCCAAGTGTCCAAGGCCAGATTTGAACTCCAGTTTTCCTAACACCAGGCCCGGCACTCTGTCCACTGCACCACCCAGCTGCCTCAGAGCTGGATGGGACCTCAGAGGTCACGTAGTTCAATGCCTAAATGATCAGGAATTCTCTTTACACTATTACTGAAAAGTGGCCGCTTTCTTTTATGTGGCATCGTGGTGCAATGAAGTCTTGAAGTCCAGAGATTTTGGCTCAAATTCAGGCTCTGGCCAGGTCCCTTACTTAACCTTTCTGAGCCTCAGTTTCTACATTTGCAAAATGATGACTAGAGTACTTGAACTACCTATATTACAGAGCTGTTGTGAGGAAAGGCTCTCTCCAGGTCTAGGTGTAGTGGATTCAAAGCCAGTTAGGTGGCTCAGTGGATGGTGCTAGCCTTGGAGTTAGGAAGGTGATTTCAAATCCTACCTCTAGCACATGTCACTTAATAACCTCTGTCTGCCTCAGTTTCCTTAGCTGTAAAATGGGGATGATAATAATAGCACCTATCTCACAGGATTGTTGTGGAGATCAACTGACCTGACATGAAAGGAGCTTATTGTTATATAGTATGAGGCTTTTTTCCCCAGGTGACCTTTTGACTGAGGTGACATGTTGACCAAGAGGAGTGCTCAGCAGCACTTCAGAAGAGAATGAATAACTCTTCTTTCTTTGCTGACAAAGAATTCTCTGGCTCCATTCTCTGGCAGAAAGTATACTGATGCTGTCTGGCTGTGTTTTTTATAGTGGATATTTGATTCTTTTTTTTCCCTAACTTGGATACAGCTTGGGAAGTTAAATGAACACCACCGATCAGAGGCCATAAATTCTGCTGTTTCTGACCTGAACATACAGTTTCACGTCTCACAAAATTAAGTCCGAACTCTAGTTGATAGTAATGTCAGCATACTGGGCCTCACTTTGGCCAGAGGTAATTAAGAGATGTTTTGCTCTAATTGCCTAAGTTTAGGGAATTGCCACCCACATGCTTTATGTGTAAAATAATTGTTGGTCCCCAGTTAATATAATTATTAATATAATATAATGTTAATAGTATTAATATAATGATAAGAATGCTACAAATTTGTTCTTCTGAGATTTAAAGTTAGCAAGACCTGTCTGGCTGAGCCCAAGATCTCTTATTGATATCAGAATACAGAGGAATATATCTAAGTCATGTTCAAGGCAGGATGATCTGAGACTTTTAAGGACATTTTAAAGCCAAGATCAATTCAAAATCTAGCCATTGGACATCACCTGCTAAGGAACATGTGGCATCTAAGGGCAGTGGAGATATAAAGAATTTTAAATTGACGTCCTTTGTGGCCAGATGGGTCTCATGGAGGTTCTCCAAAAAAAACAAACAAGAAACCTGGGAAGAAGAAGACAGAGAGGCAGCAAGTTGTTAAGAGACCTGGCCTTGGTGTCAAAGGCCCTGGGTTCAATTCCCAGTTCTGGCTCCTTAGTCCTTATATATTCAAACAAGTCACATCAGCCTACTGACCATTGCTTTTCTGATCTTTAAAATGAGAGGGTCGAACTAGATTATCTCAAAAGTTCTTTCCAGTTCTAAATCCTCTGATCCTGTTAATCTGAACGTTTTTAGAGTAAACGTGTAACCTCTGACTCCAAATCCAATTCTGCTCTACTGCACCATGGTGTTTTCTCCCTAACTAGCTTGTAAGCTTTCTAAGAGGGGGAGAACAGACAGAAAGTATCTTGTTCTTCTTTTTGTAGCTCCCGCCCTCCCTCCAGGCAGGAGTGCCTAGTACAGTGTTCTGCATCATATGGGTGCCTGTCACCATTATGATCAGGTGAAATGTCTTGACCCAGCTTTATACCTGTCTTTTTAGACAGAATTCCACTTTGGTGATACTCCTGGTAATGGCTAACTAACTACTCTACTGCCAATCCATAGAATTTAAAATAAAATTCACAGAATCGAAGAGTCTCAGAACTGGAAGCGATCTGAGAAAGCATCTAGTCCAATCTTTGAACAAGAAACTAAACAAGTGGTCGGCCAACTATTGCTTAAAGACCTCCTATGAGGTCTACCTCAGGCAACAAGCACATTCTATTTTTGGGTAACTAAGTGTTAAGAAGTACTCTGCCTCATTCTGATTCTTTTCGACTTCCTTCCGTTCTTCCTTATTCTGACCTTTCAGAAACGAGCAGAACAAATGTAATCCCTGTTCCAGGTGGGAGAGATAAATATTTACCATTTGGCAAATTTTATCCCCCATCATCCGTCTTGGCACACAGTATTTGCTCATGAACAATCTTTGCTCACTAGTAAGAGATGTAGAAATAAGTGGTGCTGGTTCTTATTTTCTCAACTGAAATGAGCTTTACAATGCCTCACCACCGCTTATAGTTGCATTGACCCATTCTCTGGAGGGAAGAAGTGAGTCTCTTGCAAATGGAGGAGCAGCATCAGGTATGTGCTTTCATTCATCTAGAAAAGATAAACGTGTAGCTTTTTTCTGTCCCTGACAAACAGCTTCTTTCCTCAGGTGACGGGCATAGTTCATCCCACACCCAGCCAGTTCCAAGGAATTGGAGGTTGTCTGTGCTTGAGGACTTCGTTCTGACCCTTCTTTATCTCTTGAAATTGATTTTCTGCTCAATTGTTCAGCATCCATTTACTTGTAATTTACAGCCTCTTCTGCCATGAGGCCAGTGAAGATCTATGGAATGTTTTGGCTAGCCTTCTTGATCATGAATGATGCATGAGAGGGTCATAGATTGAGAGCTCGAAGGGACTTTTGAGGCCATCTAGTTCAATCTCTCATTTTCCAGATGAGGAAACTGAGGCCCCAAAAAATTAAGTAACTTGCCCAAGGTCACATAGGTGGTAGAGGTAGCATTCAAACCCAAGTTCCTGACTCCACAGTCAGTGCACTTTCTACTGACTACACTTCCCAAATGAAATACAGAAATGTATTTGAGTGTTGTATGTGTATGTATGGGACAACTAGGTGGTGCAGTGAATAGAGCGCCAGACCTGGAGTCAGGAAGACTTGTCTTCCTGAGTTCAAATCTGGCTTCAGACACTGACTAGCAATGGGCTTGGAATCGGAAAGACTAATCTTTCCTGAGTCCAAATCCAGCCTCAGATACTTAACTAGCTGTGTGACCCTGGGCAAGTCACATAACCTTGTTTGCCTCAGTTTCCTCATCTGTAAAAATGAGGTGGAAAAGGAAATGGTAAACCACTCCATTATCTTTGCCAAGAAAACCCCAAATGGGATCAAG